TTATTTTGAGTGTAGTACCTTTTTTGACCACCCGATGGCAGAATAAAACTGATTGAACTGAAGGATGGATAGTGAGGGAGGAGCAGCGTGTCTCTTTTAGAAAAATGGGAGGGAGGCCCCTTGACGTGACATGGGCTGTCTCTCCTTCCTTTATTCGGTTCTCAAAATGGCGGATGCTCGGTGTGGTTTGAGCTCTTTAGCATAGCATTTTTCACATAAAGCTTTTAATAAAAATAAAAAAAAATCAGTAAACGAGTTCTCAGCTTATTTTTGCAGAGAAAAACAACTTTGTACACGAAGGCACGGGTTTCAACCGTGAATTGTGGAACTTCGACAAGACGGAGGTTTTTGAGGTTGGCCTGTTAGCTTAGCTTGTAGCTTAGCTGCTTTTAATGCTCCAAAAACACAATTTTGGATCATTAAAATGGATTTTAACGAGAAAAGAGAAAGGGAGGGGTCAGTGAAGAGCACCGGAGTTGAGCTTTTTGTCATCCAGTGTCTTCAGTAGAAAGAGAGAGACACAAAGAAACGATAAAACTGATAAATGAAAATGAGGACGATAATTTTCATCATGTGATTAATTGATTAATTGTTTATTGTGACAGGCCTAAGCACAACACACAATAAATATGTGGTAAACAAATAACCTGTCTTGGAAAGAACGCTTGAACCAAACAGGTTTCTAAGGGAAAACTAATCCTCAAACAACAGCACACCTTTAAAAGATTTCTCTCTGGAAGCATTTTCACTCCAGAAAAAACCCACACTGAGACGTGATTAACGACCAACAGATGAGGAGCGGACACGTGATAATCACTGTAATTTGTCCTTTGAATTTTCAACAAGTTTAATAAACTCTAAGCTTCACTGTGAGCCCATATATCTCTGTTTTGTTACAATTTTTTGAGTTGAACATGAGGAATAATTATTAGGATTACTTTTTATAATCAGGGTTTATCCTGTAGTAGAGAATACTGAAGTTTTGCTCAAACTAGAACACGTCTGTACACTCTCCAGATCAATTACCAATCACTGTACCAGCATACCGTTTCAACAAATCACTGCGTCCCCTTGTGCAGTGGTGTCCAATCCTGGTTCTCCAGGGTCACTATACTCCATGTTTTAATTGTTTCTCTGCATCAACTCAACTAATTTGAATAAATGGGTGATTAACAAGCTTCTGCAGAACTTATTCAACCATCAAATCAGATGTCTTGAAGCAGAAAAACAACTAAAACATCCAGGATAATGTTCTACAAGGACCAGGATTGGACACCACTGCCCCTGTGTTAAGAAACCTCGAAAGAAAAAGTACAAAAGCAGCCCCACTAACTACAATTAGACACAATTTCAGTGATACTGAAAAAAGAGTTAGATGGGTGTACCTTCCAAAAGAATGAAGAACTATGAAAATGTTTCAGTGAATGTAAGCAAAATTTTTAAATTTGTATTAAAGGAAATGTGTTTTTTTATTTTCTGAAATGGAGCAAAGTTAATTGTCATTTCTTGAATGATATAAATTGCAAGAAAAAACTGGGGGGGAATATTCATTCAACCAACCTTTATTTATACAGGTTAGTCTCACTGAGTCACGAGGACTCATTTTCAGGAGAGACCTGTTTTAGACAAAACCACAGATGAGGTACTCACAACAATAAACAGCCAAAAATGCATATAAAATGAAACGTAAATAAAAGTAGTGATGTAAAACAAAAAAGTTAAGCTACATTATGAAACGAGGTAAAAAATACTAAGAACAGGAACACGTCTGCATTGATTTTTGCATTGAACTCAATTGTTTAAAATCCCTTAGAGAGGTCAAAGTCAACAGCTTCAGATCTTGTTGTAAGGCGTTCCAGGATACAGGAGCGGAGTAAGAACGTGCCTTTTTGCCGAGATCAGTCCGCACTGAAGGGACGCTGAAAACAAAGTACCAACACGTTGTCAACAAGCACGGTGACTGAAGCAGCTTGAACTGATGAGACCCCAGTCAGTAGAAAGAACAGCAGAATGTAGCCGCACAAAAACCCACATGTCTAACATTTAACTTTTTGTATAAGATTCTTTCTGGTCGTTTCTCGCTATATCGCAGTTCACTTATTGTGGGTTTTTGAAAGGGTTTTTTTAGATGGTGCACATGCTGTGCAGTACTTTGTATTCGTCTCATCGTCAAAGTGTTTAAGAGCATATGAAGTGTTTACAAGAGCGTGGGACTGTCATGATTCCTGCAGGTCTGTTCACCACGCCCACCTGCTCCGTTACAATCAACATAATTCTTCTCACTCCCCTGTTCTTCTATCCAGCACCAGATTATTGAAAGCCTTGCGCAAATAAATGTCCAGCGATTATCTCATGCTCCTGACTGATCCCTTCATCCTGACTAAGTTTCCGTGCCCTGGATTTTCCAGTTTTGCCTTGCCCCTGTCGGACACCTACCAAGCGTCCGACACCAGTCTTTTCAAAATAAAGCTTAATGAACGAACTTGGTGTCTGGTTGAATTTTTGTGTCCTCTGCTAAATTCATTACAGGAAAAGGTTAATAAGTGAGTGGGAAAGGGTTGTAGGAGTGTGGGTAGGGTTTATAAAGCCTTAATATAAATAAATAATAAAATAAATATATTGTTGCTACTTTGTGGATTTTCACCTATCACGGGGGGCTCTGGAACGTAACCCCCACGATAGGTGAGGGATCACTGTATATCATAAATTCCCATTGCAATACGAAACACATTGTTTTCTGGGTTTTAATAGAAGTATTAGTGATTGCACAGTTGAACATTTCTTGGTAAAATACTCAACATAGAACGGAGAGCATAAAATCTTGTAACTTTTTTGTGCTCGATTGTGCGAGGACACTATAGTTTGAAAGAGAAGGGATTTTTTTTTCTGAAGCCTGATTTTGCAGTGGCTTTGATTTAGTCTTTTACAAGCATGACGGATTGTTGGGGTTTGAGCATCTTGTACTGAAGTGCTTTCAAAGCATACAGACATATATCAGAAGAGAACTGAAATGAACTAACTGAATGAACGTTACTCGTTTTCCTTCATGCTGCGACAGTGAAATACATACATCACGCCAAAAAAATGTTTTATCCGGTAATAAGGGTGGGATTGTTTTAAATGTGATTTTATTTGCAGATCAGAATACAAACACTGGTGATTTTTTTTTGTCATACTCGTCCAAGTGCAGAAAGAAAAAAACGTCAGTAAGTTACAATAAATGCAGCTGTTAAACTTCAAGATCTTTGCATTAACTTTCACAGTAATAAAATGCTCAAATGAATGAAAGCATTCTGGTACAGTGCGTCTGCAGAATACACTGCAGCTCAACAGCAAGAGACCTCTGTAACTTGAGTTCGTCAAAATGTCATATTTTGGGTCCAGAAAACCAGACCCTCCACTGCAGCTGGTTTTAATGCAGACCTGAGGGAAGTGACAATGTTCTAACATGAGCTGAAAACTCTCAGGGTGCTTTTCATGGCAGCGAAGCTGCTTTTGGCACAACACTGGAGGTCCTCTTAGCTACTGACAAGTACATACCTGACGAACTAGCTGTAGCCACATCGTGTGCCATTTGTTAACATAAAATTAGTGACACAAATAGTTTGTGTATATCAAACCCTGGTGCTCCAAGGTGTTTTGCGTTTTTGTTCAAGAAAGCTGGGGTGAATTAGGAACCTTTAGTGGCAAACAAAGAAAGTGACAGTGACGCGTTATAGCTCGTTTTCTTTTTGAACGTTGTGTCTCCCCTCTACCATTGTTTAAAGATTACTGTAGGTAGAAATAAAATCAACGTTTCGAAGCCGTTTTCCATGGCCTGCATGTTGTCTGGCTCAAATGGAGGATAAATGAGCTTGTTTATAGAACACTTGTCTTTAAGCTGATGTTATAAGATGAACTAGCTGTGAGAGCAGCAAGACAATCAATAAGACGCCCCATGACTATATGATTATCAATAATTTTGCCGCTCAAATGCAAGGAGGGAATAATAGTGGGACAGGTGTACAACTTCTGTCTAATCCATGTAATGGATGAAAATTTGAGACAATATTTTTCCTTTTAATGGGGAACAAGATGGAGTGAAATCAATGAGCTAATAACTGAATATAAAAGCCGAGGACATAGTGATGAGGCTGCAGACTCCTGCTGTACTTTTCAGGAAGTTTTCATCAATAAAACCCCTTCAGGTACAAGAAATCAGAACAGATGTCCAATAGTACTGCAAGGCTTTATAGAGTATTACATTTCACATTTATGAGTGACAGAATCTTTATAGATGGTACTTTATTAATCTGCACTGTTGACCATTAATGTTTAATTATCCTATTGTGAAATGGCTTTAGCTGCAGACCATATTGACCATCTGAAACTAATATTTGTGCGCATCAGTGTGTGTAGTGTTTAGAGTATCTTTAAGTGAGTGAAGGGGCGACTAATGCACCGTTACATTATAACCGTTTCCAGTTGTTTAAGGTTCTGTGCTACATGTTGTAGTGCAGGATCAGATGGATTACGTAACAGAATTAGGATGACTTTTGACATTTTTGGTCAGAGTAATACATGCTGGGTATACTGAACCAGTGTCTAGTAAAGCCACAGAGTTTATGTATGGATCTGTACAGCAGAAAATACATTGAAAAGGATAACAGATGAGATTTACTTTGTAAGATGAAACTCACGGCCTTGAGTCTGGCACCACTTTTACAATATGGGAAACCACCAGAGGCTTTTAAATAACTGTAACAGCTTCTGCAACTTTAAGCGAACACATGGCAGCATGCTAAAAGTGACATCAAGGACTGGAGTCAAATCTCTGAGCAACTAAACTTTGACATTGGATTAACAAGGCATCCCTTTCAGAACACAGACAGCACTGATGTGAAGCCTAACGCTGCAGAATGACGAGTAATTTAATTAAATATATATACTGTACGTAATGTAAAGCAGACTGCTTTGAGTACCAGATGCAAATTGTGATGACATTCTGTATAAACTCTGACCTATTTGCAAGATGACATATCTATGTCATAAACTCTTGGTGAACTCTGCACGTGAACAAGAGCCAAACTCATTCTAGGAAAGGAAATGAAACAGAAACACAGTTTTTAGAGATTTGGCATGCCGACACACAAACACTAACCTGGCATGTGGGACATCAATGCTGGAAGAGACTACTTTGCGTTTTTGCTCCAATAAGGACACTGATCGGGTATCAGGGTCCCGGCTGACACGCTTGCCTTCCGCCAGCCTGGGCTCCTCTGCAGCCTCTGGGCTCATGCAGCCCCCCTCCACCTTCTGGCCATCTGAAACCCCGTTGCTGGAGCTCTGCTGCAGAGGAACACAAACAGGTACGAGTCAACGTTTGTGAATAAAACCTTAAAAAACAAGTTTGTCTCAACGTTGAGGAAGAAATGCTGTGCATACTATAGGGACGCACATCTCAAACGTCCACATGTAAAATGATGCATAGGATATGAAATTGTGCAAATTATTTGAGTAACCGCTAAAAACATTATCTAAAACATATTATCGATCTGTCTGAGGTGCAACTTAATTCTGAACAAGACAAACAGGGTAGCAACACCAAATGATCAATTATTACACAATCTACTGGGAAGAAAGGGGAAATAAATGTAGTTTTTCGATCCAGACCCAGATATTGAGGCAGCGTCTGAGCTTTGTTTTGGTTTGTAACCAGAATTTTGACAATAATTTTATATGTATGTTTCCCACGAGTCGCAACCAAAAAAGGAAAAGGCGGGTAAAGATAATGAATGTCCAAGTTTCACAAAAAGCTGTAGCACTGTATGAATACCTGCATGCATCTACACACCTCTGTAAAAAATCTGCAGCCATCAAACTCTTTAATAAACTCAAAGCAAGGGGCAGAACACGAGCAGAGTGACTCACACAGAGATCACTGACCATACTGCACTGAGGAGTAATGTGGGTCAGTGTGTGTTTGTGTGCATGATCTAAATCATGTTCAAGTACTGTAACATGATTATTCGTTAATGAGGAACTACAAGTACACTTACAACACTTAGAAAGAGAAAACAAGATTTACTTAAACGACGAGGAAAAAGATTAAACCAGATGCTCATTATTGAGGTTTTTTGTGTAAAATGTTTGGTTTTACTTTAAAAATGGGAGGATAAAATGAAGTCGGACATGTGAAAACTTGAGTGTAAATTTGAGAGATTGAGTATAAAACTTGTCAAGTTTCCTCTTCTTTTTAAGCCTCTCTTAAACACGTGCACTCCCCCAACCTAACAGTTTAAAGAATGTTATCACTGTTCAACTATTAGATCTCAAAGGTCACACTGAAAGATCCCAACTCTTTAAAAACGAATGCTGCCAAGCATGAAACTAAAGTAACTTGTAAAAAATTACACATTTATTTGTGTAGGAGTAAGGATAGAATTACACAACCCCGTTCGCCAACAATTACAACACGATCTAAAATGTAATGACTAACAAAATGTTAAAAATAAAGTGGTTTTTTTATTTTAAAATGTGTCCCATTTCTAATAAGTCAGCTACTTCAGTCCCTAAAAGAAGTCTTTGTTAAACCACTGTGGTTTCCTGTTGGTAAGTCATGACCAAGCAGTCACGAGTGTGTGCTCTCACACACACACACACACACACACACACACACACACACACACACACACACACACACACACACACACACACACACACACACACACACACACACACACACACACACACACACACACTGAGCAAACCAAGGGCTGCAGAATCAGCCTTGTCACAACAGCACTGTAGGTGAGAGTGGTGTGCCACATGGTTCTAATTCTCATGAAAAAAAAAACATCATCAGAAAGTTGGCAGACAGAAAAAAGATGAGATGAATGCACTGAGGTGTTTGTAGCCTGACAGCCCTCAGTGTCAGCAGGTAATGCTCCTCGTAGACACCTCGGACAAAAACTTACGACAGATCAATATCAGAGTTTCAGAGATTCATCTCAACGCTGCATCTAAAGTGACCTCATCTGTTGTGAACAAGCACCGCCATCTTTCCTGTACTCCTCCTGCTCTGTCTGTGATATTTGGTTGGTTCAAACAGCCTGGAAGATGTTTGGAGGAATGTTGGAATTCAGAAAAAATGCTCCTGCAGTCATATTTCTTTACAACACATGATGCTGCACTCCCAATATTTCTGATGTGTCGTCAGAGCTAAAAACTCCAGAAATCGCGCATGACAATCAAAAATCCACTCGGGGATTAACTACTCTCTTTACTCACGCGAAATCTCCTACACCTCCTCTTCAACTTGTCTAGATTTACTATCCCATTCCAAGAATTATTTGGGGTTAGGAAAGCTTGGTTATCTTAAACGGTATGTAAACAGCTCTCCTGTTGGCAGGATAATGCGTCAGTAAAGACGTTTGAAATTGGAAGTACTATCGGAAACCAATCCAGCCCAGCAGCATTTAAACCAGGACAAAAGTAAGTTAAAAAGGCTACAAAGACAAAAAAAACACAAGTGTTCCAGTGGTGAAGATTCAGATTAAGCCCTCTCTTTGTAAAATGATCAAACTAAGCTACTTCACTGCACTGAAACTTGCTGCAGTTTTTATTTCTTGCACAAGACAGATGTAGAACTTAGAAAATTCATGCTTGGGCTTTGAAGCTTCCCACACATTTTCTCATTTTTTACTTTTCAAAACTTTGATTTTTTCAAAGTTGACTTCTGTTCAATTCCAAAAAACTGTCAATTCTTATCAAGTGTTTAGTGTGCTATACTTTGACAATACATTTTTATTAATTTCTCCTCTTTACCATGATAAACCTGGTGCTTATTGCCACGAATGTAATTATTTAAATATAAACTTTTTGAAAATTAGAAGTTAAAGGAACTGTAGCTTAAACAGATCAACTGTAATTTATTTCATAAAAAAGGATAAATAGGATGTGAAATTGAAAAAATAAATTTATAATTTCTAATAATTTTACACTTTTTAAGCTGTAGAAAGAGAATAAAAGAACAAAACAATAACTTTAAACTATAGATAAATTGTAAGTACGGTAGGCCCTCTCTCTTTACTTCGCGGTTCGACTTTCGTGGACTTGCTTTTTTTTTTAACAATTGTCAATTTCAATATATTATTCACATGATCGGGACGGTACGGGATAAAACTTTAAGGAAAAAAATACTTGGACAAGCACCACCATTCTGTAGTTTTCTTTCAAGAAGCCTATACTGTAATGTCAGTCAAGAGAACTACACTACCCAGAAGCCAACAGTGCTTCCGGTCCCTGCTTTCTGCCGAAATGGAGGGAAAGTTTTGCAACGCAAAGTCAGAAGTAACAATCTATGTATCTATTAAGCTCACAGAACTGGCAGGAACGTTGCAAATAATCCTGAAGCTTCCTGAAGCTCAATTATCCACGTGCACATCAACCTGGATGGTGCGGTGGGCTTTGTCGCTGCAGGGTAGGTCTGCAGAACCAGAACCAAACTCGACCAGAACCGAGCCGCTGTTCTGCAGAGCTGGTGAGTATTTTGCAGTACTGTACAGTACATGTACGTAAGTTGTTAAAACGACGTAGGTTTACGAGTTTAGAACATTACAAGAGGGTGGGAAGGGTTTATAAAGCCTTAAAATACATATATATACTAAAATAAATATAGCGTTCCTAGGCCTGTCACGATAAACAATAAATCAATTAATCACATGATGAATGAAAATTATCTACCTCATTTTAATTTATCGGCTTTATCGTTTCTTCGTGTCTCTCTTTCTACTGAAGACACTGGACGACAAAAAGCTCAACTCCGGTGCTCTTCACTGACCCCTCCCTTTCTCTTTAAAATCTGTTTTAACCATCCAAAATTGTGTTTTTGGATCGTTAAAAGCAGCTAAGCTGAGAAGCTAAGCAACGAGCTAAGCTAACAGGCCGACCTCGGGAATAAACCTCCGTCTTGTCGAAGCTCCAAAATTCACGGTTGAAACCTGTGCCTTCGTGTAAACAGTTGTTTTTCTCTGCAAAAAGAAGCTGAGAACTGGTTTACTGATTTTTTATTAAAAAGCTTTGTGTGAAAAATGCTATGCTAAAGAGCTCAAACTACAGCGCATCCGCCATAAATAAATAAAGGCTAATAAAATGTCACCATATCATGTCAAGGGCCCTCCCTCCCATTTTTCTTAAAGAGACATGCTGCTCAACTATCCATCCTTTGGGTCAAACAGGATACTGCCATCAGGTGATCAAAAAAGGTACTACATACCAGACAATTCAACATTTCTTTTAAAATTTGACAATTAATTATTGTTAAATTTCAAACAATATTATCGTTTATCACAATAATTTCTGAGACCATTAATCGCTGCCCAGCAAAATTTGTTATCTTGACAGGCCTAAGCGTTCCTACTTTGCGTTTTTTCGCTTATCATGGTGGTGTGTGGAACGTAACCCCCACGATAATTGAAGGACTACTGTTTTCCAAGTACATACATTTTAGAGTAATATTAGCTTCAAATGCACAACATAAATAAAACAGTTTCAATGTTTTGAACACAACTATTTTGCATGAGGAAATGGTGAGTTTCCTGTTACTCTCCTAAGGAGAAACAAACATTTGTCCATAAAAGCATGTATTATTTGTAATTTGATGACACCTCCTTTGTCCTCACAACCGAGCGTTTCGTACTGATATTGTTCAGCTGGATAACGAGGACGGTCTGATCTCTGCTTCAGAACCAAGAGTCGCTCAGCCTCTATCAACAACCTTGCTTCATTGCCTCCCGCACTGGACTACGCCTCCAACAAGTGCCAGCGCAACAACCAAACAAGTCATGGCACTTTGTAGGCATCAAGAAAGCTGTCCACACTGCACACTTGTGTACAAATCGGCGAGTCAACAAGTGGCATCCCAATCCCCCCACCCATGCAAAAAAAGGGGGGAGGGTGCATTCATTTGTAGTACTAGGCACAGCTCCAGGCATCCAGATTCTTTGGAGCACGCTACCCGTTGCCAACCTGGAGGTGCCCACTTTGCTGTACAGCTGCCGTGTTCAAAGCTCCTACAAAACAACCATCATTCCGAAACGTTAAGTAGCTAGATCTCACAAACACGCAGGGGAGGAAAATCCCATCCACGCTTTACTACACTCTCGTGCACGCTAAAAGCAACGCAGATGCACATGTGAATCTACACACACCAGACTCCTCCTCCACGTTTTATGGCTTGTTTTCGACCTCTTTGAGAATTGAGTCCCGCTGAAAGACACTCGACCATTGTGTTGACTGAACTACGATTTCAGCCTCAGCTGCACTGTAATGGTACAGCACAACAGCTTTTGTGTGTACAAAAAAAAAAAAGCAAACCATTAAAACTCAAGTTCTCTAAGTTATATGCGGAGATCTGTGTTGTGGTTTGACATGTGTGTGGACAAATAAAGAGTTACCAACTTCACGCAGGATTTACTAGCGAGAGGATCCTGAGTGTTTTCTGCTGTAGCCGATGTGGTTCATCCTAGAACGTGTGGAAACAAAGAGTGACCACATGCTTCCTGCTGGTTATAGAAATAACTTGTAAGTTGCTTCATATGAGACACCAAAACAAAAACAGAAGCAAAAGGGAAGAGTGAGGGTGTATGTATATTTAAATCAGAGTGTAAAAGTGTACTCTTTGGTCCCTCCCTCTCTGTAAGGAGAGAAAAACACACTTTCTCCCTGCACAACAAAAACAGTGTTGATCAGTAGGACTTCCCTCTCTTGCACTCCCATCACTGCAGTATTGGAGCCACAATATATCCACGAATTTGGACATTTGTGAAGCTAATACCTCAAATATAACTGCACTGGAAGCCTCCATGATCCATATCTCAATCTGCAACAATACATGCATTAAAGCCCACAATGCTATTTTGAGTGCAAATGCGAATTTAAAGGCTGTGTGCAGAAAATTCAATGTTATTTGCAAAGGCTACGTGCAGAAATAGGAGCAGCTCATCCAAAACGCTGCAGTGTTTGTTTGCTTCAGATTACCCACCCTCTGGAGCACATAAACACATCGCAGGCCCCACCGAAGCACCCTCCTTTTTTGTTTTTTTTGGTCCCATATCATATTTGTCACCGTCCAAACGTATTGACAGCTTCTTATTCGGTGAAGCACGCACGCACACCGGCCTCATCCGCGTTCTGGTCGGTGCACGCTCAGGAGCTCGCCGGTTTAATGTGCCATACGGCGGCAGCGGTGACACCATTAAATCCGCTCCGTGCAGGAAGCGGTTAAACGCTGCAAAACAGCACAGCAGAGGCCGGCCGGGCCTCACACACACGCGCGCACACACACACGCACACACCTTCAGGCTGGACTTGAGCGGTGCTTTGGCTGCAGTGTGGCTGGAGCCCGCGGCTATCTCGTCCTCCGTGAACTCCTTCAGGCTTCCGTCTTGCATCAGCACCGTGTAAACGCTTCGCCGGGGTCCCGCGGCCGAGACGTCTCTGTTTTCCTGCTTGACCGCCTGGACCACCCCCGTCACCGGGGCACCGTCCCCCGTCGGACTCGGCGCATAAACGCGGCTGCCGAGGATCGACCGCTTCACCAGGCGCCTGGCGTGCATGTCTTTAAAATAAAAAAAAAGATGTTTGGGCCTTTTTTATTTTTTTTTATGCGTGTTTTCAGAGCAGTCGAGTCGGTGAATTTAACCCACAAAACGTCGAATTACAAGCGGGTAAACAACGAGAAAAAACAGAACCGCAGCGGGAAGACCGGGCGCTCCGACAACCGTAAAATGTTCGAAAGCGGCAACATGCTCGGGGAGAAGGGATAAAAACTCCGAACAGCGTCCCCCGAATGAGGCACACGAAACCGAAGAACTTTGAATTAGCACCGCGACGACATGAAAACGATTCATTCGCCGCTACAACAACCTCCACATCCAACCGGCTACCAACGTCCGTCCGTTCGACCTGTTTGTTTTCCCCACTGCTCTCCGCGAGCCGAGCGGGGCGGCGGGAAAACACGGAGCGTTCGGCTCTTTCCGTAGCCCGAAACGACTCGCGTTCACGATTAAACAAAATGGCGTCCCGCTAACAGAAAAACGACGCTAAGACAAGCTAGCGAGAGCGACTACGACGGGTTGTGTCACTCCACTCGGCTCGAGGAGTCGCTGCTCGATGTGAAATGTCAAAAATATCACAAAGCAAAGAAAAAAAAATAATGCACATCCGTTAGTCGAGTCCGGGTCCGTCCCTTATCTGAATCCAGTCCGCCTTTTGCTCCGACCGAGCGGGGCCTCTACCGGCGGAGCGCCGCCTGTAAACATGTGCGGTCCGGCAGCCGAGGCGGGCTGCAATTGGACGCCGCAGCACACGCCTCCACAAGCCCCCACCGCGCTCCCTCTTCCTGCGAAGGAGGGAAATGAAACCGTGGAGGCTCTTCCATTCAAAACAATGACGCAAGGATGGATCAGGAAAGAGAAGGGAGGGCGTTTGGAAGAAGGGGAAAATTTCGGCTTTCAGAAAGGAAAACTTCAAGCAGGCAGACAGACGAGCTTTGTGCATTAACCCAGTTGTACACGCATGTAACCTCCTTTTAAGTACCATGGGACTACTAAAATACTGTGATCTGGTTTTAAAAAAGGCAACAAGGACTGCACGGGCCAGCCTTTAAACACAAGTTCAAGTTTATTGTCATTCGCATCACATGTGGTACATGAGATGGAACGAAATTATGTACTCCAGATCCTAGTTACACCCCCAAAAAAAGCAAAAATGTAAAGGATAAAATGAAACAGTATATGCGGATATATACACTAAGACATACACTGAACGAACGCCAAACGGTACGCTAAAAAAAATCTAAGATATATGCTAAACACTGATAATGTAAAAGAATACGGCATATCAGCAGCACGAACATGAGTCTGTGAGCAGATGGGTATGAATGAATCCAGCAGCATGAGATAATCAGCAGCATGGATAATCAGCATCACAGATGTCACAGATCACCAGTTAAAGTGGCATTACAGTGATTTTTTTTTTTCCCAAAGTGATAATCCTGATTAGGGATCCATGAATCTAACAGCTTCAGGTAGCTGTTCCTCAGTCTAGTGGTTCTACACTTAATGCTCCTCAACCTCCTGCCTCAGGGGAGCAGAGCAAAAAGTGTGTGTGCTGGGTGAGTGGTGTCCTTCATGATGCAAGTGGCTCTCTTCCTGAATCTGGAGGTGTATATGTCTGTAATGGTGGGGAGGCTGACTCCAATAGTCTTCTGTGCAGCCTTCACCACTCTCTGCAAAGCTTTTCTTTCTGCAGCTGTGCAGCCTCCATGCCACACGTTGATGCTGGAGCACAGGATGCTCTCCACTTCATACCTGTAGAAGGAGGTGAGGACTGAGCTTCTGAGTCCAACCCACTTCAGCCGCCTGAAGAAGTAGAGTCTCTGATGAGCTTTCTTGATCAGACTTGCAGTGTTGTTGCTCCAGCTGAGGTTATCATTCAGGTGCACAACCAAGTACTTGTAGCTCCTCCTATGTTCGGGGTGTGGGGGGGCAGGTGTGCTTGCTCCGTCATCTGAAATCCACGTTCATCTCCATATCTATTTTCGTCTTCTTCACATATTTGTGAAGGTTGTTCTTCTTGCACCTGCTCTCCAGGTGTTCCACTTCCTGCCTGTAGCTGGACTCATCGTTGTTTGTGATGCATTCAACCACCACTGTATCATCTGCAAACTTTACATTGTGATAGCCTGGATGGGTAGGTGTGCAGTCATATGTGAACAGGGTGAACAGGAGGGGGCTCAACACACAGCCCTGAGGGGAGCCAGTGCTGAGAGTTATGGTGGAGGAGGAAAAGTTGTGGATCCTCACAGACTGCAGTCTGTTGGTTAAGAAATCCAGGACCCAGTTGCATATGGAGGGGCTTAGTCCTAGTGTGAGTAATTTGTCCATCAGGGTCTGGGGAATCATGGTGTTGAAGGTGGATGTGAAGTCCACAAAGAGCATACGGATGTAGTCCTTCTGCTCCAGGTGGGTGAGAGCATTGTGGACCACAAAGGAGATGGTGTCTTCTGTTGATCAATTCTTGCGGTATGCGTACTGGTGAGGGTCCTCGTTGATGTTGATAGTTGTTTTAATGTGAGTCATGACCAGTCTTTCGAAGCATTTAGCGACTATCGGGGTGAGGGCTACTGGCCGATAGTCATTCAAGCCAACCACTGCAGAGCTTTTAGGAACTGGGATGATGGTGGCAGTCTTCAGGCAGGTGGGAACTGTTGCCAAGGTGAGGGAGAAGTTAAAGATGTCGACCAGCACCTCACAGAGCTGATCGTCACAGTCTCTTAGCACCGGGATGTTGTCTGGGCCTGTGGCTTTGTGAGGATTAATCCTCCTGAAGGTCCTCCTTACTTCTGCTGAGGTCACATTGATGAACTCCTCTTCCAGTGGTGAGGTGAGTCTGGTGTTGGGTGGTCTATTTGGGTCTTCAAAGCAGGCATAGAACCTGTTAAGAGCATCAGGTAGTGATGGGTCCCTAGGGCATTGTGCACCTCTGCTTTTATAGTCTGTTATGCACTTAATGCCCATCCACATGCTCTGATGCCAAAAATTATTCAGCATGAACTTTGATGTTTTATATTTTTCAATTTTCTTTATTGAACTTTATTGATTTACTTTTTTCCCCATAGAAATACACTGAGATATTTCCAACTCTTTAAAAACACTTGTTCTCTTTGAAATCTGCCTGAGCATGCTTGTTATGTATTTTAGTTTTTAACTACTTTTAGCTGTTCTTCTACAAATTGTACTAATCTTAGTCTTTAGCTACTATTTTAAGCTTTACACTACTGTTACTTCCATTCTGTTACTTTAAGCTTTGATGTTGCTACTTTCAGATACAACTTTTAGTTACTTTTTAGTTAGACTTTCGATACTTGCAGTTTTTACAGCCTTTTGCTACATTTAGCTCGTAACTACCCTTTTGCTATTTTCATATTTAGTTTTATATTTTATTAATCCCGAGGGCATTAGGTAAGCATGCTAGCCTTTTAAGACAGAGATAAAACATTACTTTTAACTAGCACTGTAACATTTTTATCTAGGCTTTTGCTTCTTTTAGCTTTTAGCTAAAACATTGCAAGTTTTAGATAGTTTAAGATTTTAGCTATGCTTTTGCTTCATGTGATTTTTAGCATTTTGCTTCTTAAAGCTTGTAGCTAGTGTCTTGTTCCTTTTCGAGTGTTCAGATTATTTTTTTAAGCTTTAACAACTCTGTTTCAGCTCCTTCAGCAAATACCAGCAATCATTCGTGCTTCACTCTGCCTTTTCCTTGAATGTTTTCTCTAGTTCTTATTTAATTCTCTCATCTTAAATATCAATGTTATGATACTTTTGAGCTTTTAGAGATTCTAAAATAGGCTAATAAAATTTGGCTCCACGTTGACCAAAATTTAATGGGTCCAAGTATAGCTACTAAAACTGGAGCTTGGCTAAAATCTAATAAAATTCAGTTTACAAAAGGTGGTTTGTGATTCCATCTTATATGATGTCCTCACGTTTCTGTCTAATCTCGTGCAGTCTTCAGTAAACGAGCTTAAATTGACTCAGCCCTCAAGGCTACCTCATAGCTATTTATTTTACTAAGTAGCTTCATATATGTAGAAACGACAGCGTTAGAACTGTTTTTGTGTTCACGAAGATCAATCAGCTGTGGCGGCCATCTTGAATTGGGTTGACTCTAAAAGTTAATCAGGTGTTTATGTAAACCCGGGGATTTCTTTCTTTTATCTGCAAATAATACATGAGCCACTGTCGCAGCGACGTTTTATCAAAAAATGGACTAAATAATGTTTGCCCCCCCCCCCCCCCCCACACACACACACACACACACACGACACACACAGAGAACTAAGTAAAAAAAACACATTTCTTGAATAATTATATTTTAATAAAAGAATTCATATAGTAAAATATTTACACGCAGTGAACGGAGGCCGGACAAAGCAAAGCGACATATGTGACTGCCTTTGATCAAAGGTGGGTGTCAGCACAGGATTGTCTGTTTGGGTGGGGTGGGTGTGTGTGTGTCTCTGTAGGAGTAAATCTGAAGGAGAGGGTCAACTCCACCTCCTAAAGGGGGGACTGTGTGTTTAGACGAGCGACAGATTGTGAGAGCATAAGTGATTTTAGGTAAGTGCCTGGGATGTTGTCCTAATTAGATTTGGCACTAGACACCCCCCCCCCCCCCCCCACACACACACCGTTATGACCATTAGAGGTTCTTCGTAACATATGGGGAGGGACATTAAATCTGATTGCCAAAAGCCTGATATGCAACCATATCATTCCATAAGAACAATTCTCTTAAAAGTTCATGTTTTTGTGTTGAGGAACGTTTAAATAAGACTCACAACGACCTGTTTGCAGAAATAAGTGTTTGTTTTTAACTCATCTTCATACATGAAATACCCAAAGTGGATGGATGGTGTTTAGCAGCGTCTCAGATGATCATGAATCCATTACAGTCAAAAGAAGCAGGCGCCTAAACTAGTGGTTCCCAACCATGGTCCTTGTGGAACGCCATCCTGCATGTTTTAGTTGTTTCCCTGCTTTGACACACCTGGTTTGAATGAATATGTGATTAACAGACTTCTGCAGAACTTGAGGAAGTAATTCACTGAATCAGACGTGTCAGAGCGGGTAAACAACTAAAACATGCAGGGTGGTGTTCCTCAAGGATAAGGATTGGGAACCGCTGGCCTAAACTAACAGGCGTCAATATTTTCAAATATGGCAATACCATATTTTTCGGACTATAAGGCGCACTTAAAATCCTTTAATTTTCTCAAAAATCGACAGTGAGCCTTATAATCACGTATTAATTCTGGTTGTGCTTAATGACCTCAAACCGATTTTATGCGATTATTGTGAATGAGTTTAATAAAGTTTGACTTATCTGACTGTTTTGTTTTGCTTAATGCGCCTCATGTATGAAAACAAACCCGTCCATTGATATTGAGCCTTATAATCCGGTGCGCCTTATAGTCCGAAAAATACGGTAATTTAGTACAAGAAAATATTAGTTTAATGTGAAAATCTGATTAATTCTCTTTAAAGGAAGAAGCGGCTACAAAACAGCAGAAAAAGCATAAATATTATTTTAACATTAAACACCAATCAGCAGAACTGAGACATTATTTAGTTTGTTTTTTAATAAAAGTATAATTTCCTTAAAATGCGTGTACCGTTAAACAGTACCATGTGGCAACGTCGGATGGGTTACAACTCTGAGTTACAACGGTTTTAAGACTACAGGGGGTCTTTGAAACAAGCTGGACATTCATCGGTGCTTTTAAACTCAAACTATAACACTCTGAACACTGGATAAGATTACACAAAGTTTCCTGTGAGTGACGGCTGACTAAAATAGTGCTCTAAAAATATACAGATATATATACCTTAGTTGGCATGTCGTCAATACGGGTTACAAACAGATTTGTGAATTTTCTTTGTTCAAATTTTACAGAAATATAACAAAACTGATCATTTGGTTACAAATGCTGTACCATAAAAGTATTAAATGTGCGTAAAAGCCAAATGAAGACTAATGTACCAATAAAAAAAGTACATAATTAAAAATATAATGTTACTTGTAAATATTCACCTTTTTTTTTTTTAAACCGAGAACAAGTTTGCTTTAAACATCGACAACACGTACCGAACCGGCATTAGCCTCACATCTAGCTCGAATTAATGCGCAAAACTTCTTTAAAAAAAATCCTATTTACTTCTGTCTAACAGACACACTAACATTTCACGATTACACAACAATAATAAACTCTCAAATAAATACATTAGGATAAAAAAAATACAATAAAAATAAAAGTTACAAGTTGTTTTGGGCTGTAACAGTTCCAGGAAAGCTTTCCAAATGTGTGGAAAACTCTCGTACTTTTCCTGTAAAGCTCAAAAATATACGTAGCTTTGTCCGATGTTTTGTTTGACCAACAACTGGCTTTTTTTGTGTGTGTGTCAAGAACTTTTCACAGGAACATGTAGCGAGAATACACATCAGAAGTGTTGCAGACCTGACAGAGAACAGCCCAGAAATACTCCAGCTGACACCTCGGTAAGACGTGTCAGCGAGTCAACGGGAAGCTGCTGCAGAGAGAGGTGCACAAAGAGCGATACCTTCATATAATACAGTAAGTGCATCAACTTTACATGAACATATGGCACTAAATTCTTGATGCATCTTATTTTAAACGGGCATTAAAAGCGTCTTGCTGACATTTACAGTGCTGCATATGTGTGACTGGATATGTTTTACTTCATTTTGTCTCCACAATCAAGTGTTTTTAAGGCTTATTCGTACCCACGTTCATAAATAAAAGACATGATAAACCGTACCCACGCTGTGATGATGCGATCGTAATGGAGCTGAGCAGTCCCCCTCCACACCAGTGCATGTTTAACAGCTGCGTTGGAGTCCTACAGTGATGTTTTTGAGGGATGCGTCAGTGAGAGGGGAGTGGGGGGCAACTCAAAGACGGGACATGTTTTGACCGAGATCCAGCTCCGCCACGTTTTCATAGTCGTGCTCTGCCTTGTCATCGTCCGCTCCCTCTGCCTCCCCCCTGAGATCGTCGTCCGAGCTGCTGGTCTTTCGGATGCGGATGGATTCGTAGCAAGGGTCTGTGCCGTCCTCGCCCGGCTGGGGCTCTTGGAGGTCTCGAACCGTGGCGTAGAGGTCGCTGGAAGACGAGGCCGGGACCAGCCCTTTGAGCTCGGCGATGCTGCTGTAGTCGTGCTCTTTGTCTTCGTCGTCACAGTTTGTCTTGTTAACCACAGAGTACACCGCTGACTGAAAGAGCCACGACACACAAACACATCGTTTTACTTTTGTTTGTTTTTTCACAAGTCCAGTTTCAGACAATTCTTCTTTTTTCTTTTGCTAATCTTTCTGGTACTTGGAATCCCTGGAAGAGGCAGTTTGTGGAATAAGAGAGGTAAACACACTTACTTCATTATTCGACAAGAAGGGGTTGTTGAAGTCGGGTGCAGCAGACACAGGAGAGTGGAACTGAGAGAAAGAAGACAAACGCAATAAGAGTCACCTCTCAGTATGGGCTAAAATTGGTACGGATTGAATTTTTAGAGATTCTGGCGACTTCCTGCTGCTAAAAAAAAACCAGTGTCTTGATAAAAGTGTTCACACCCTTAGGAAAACTGTGAAGCTACAACTACAACTTTTAAAGTATTCTACTGAAATGTTATGTGATTAAAAGCCGTGCATGTTTGTGAAGTAGATGGAAAAGAATAAATGGGTTTTCAAAACTTTTCACAAATAAAATTCTGAAACGTGTTCAACGACACCCCGAACTAAAATCTGCCATCAGAAGTCCCCCACTTGGTAAATAACTTTGATTTTATGCATAAATCCAGCCGTTTTGTGAAGACTTCAGAAGGTTGTTCAGAATATTACTGATCAAACAGCATCATGAAGACCAAGGAACACAATAGACTGGTCAGGGGTAAAGTTGTTGAGGACTTCACAGCAGGGTCAGGTTATAAATGAGAAGCTTTGAACATGTCATGGAGTGATGTTCAGGCTCCCATCTGAAAATGGTACAGTTGTAACCTTACCAAGACATGGCTGCTCACCTACACCAGGGGTCGCTCACTAAATGATGTCTGCAGGTGCAAAACCTGCCTATCAACTGGTGGCCCATGGGCCACTTAGAGGTCGCTGCAGGAGGACCTTTTCTGGCCAGTTGGGGTGACATAATAAAACTAAAAATATAAAATGCATTTTTACATTTATTGATATTTTTACATATTAGGTTAAAAGGAACGAGTAAGGAAAATAAAACAAGTTCATACCGAGTCCCTGCAGACTTATGCAAGTCTTTTTTTCTGACTTAAAATTAAGTACACCACTTTGAAGTAATAAACATACATTTAAAGTATGCAGAAAAACTTGGCATTTTGCTGGACAAGTTGATTTTTTATTTTATTTTATTTTTTAAGAAAAATCCCACTGTAAGCCTGGAGGATAAATGAAGTAGCTAAATGTAATCAACACGTTTCGCTCCTCGTATTAGTATCTTTCACAAATTTACAATAAATTGACCAAAAAAGCTGCTAAAACTTGCTGAGACGTTTCGCCCTTCATCCAAAGGACTTCATCAATCCAAGGAGCCACCAAACAAACTGAGTCCCACAAGCAGCACACTCACATAGTAGGAAAAACAAGTTTGCTGGTGATAAGATGGTTTCTGGGGCCCGCCCTCTCCCCCATCAACTCCTCTGAGGCAGCCATAGCCAGAGTGGTTCAAAACATCAAAGTTCATGCTCAGTAATCCAGGTACAAATCCAACAATGTTCAGTCAGGTCATCTGGATAGATGAGGAATGATGAAGTCCTTTGGTTGACGGACAAAATATCTCAGCAAAAAAAGAAACCGTCCACATGACCTGACTGAACATTTGGATTTATACCTGGATTATTGAGCATGGACTTTGATGCTAAAACCCATTTTTTGTAGTGGGTATAAAGCAAATGATAATAAATACAGTATGTTAGTTTTGGTAAAAGCTTCAAAGGGCCACAGATGAGAGACTAAAGAGCCACATGTGGCCCCAGAGCCACACGTTGCAGACCCCTGACCTAAACTGACTGAAAGGGAAGAAGATCAATAATCTCAGGAGGAATCTGTTCGCAGCACAACTGTTAGTCGGGGACTCCAAATCTGGCTTTTATGGAAGACTAACAAGATGAAAGCCGTAAAAAGTCCCATTTGCCATGTAGGGACAGGTGCTCTGCTCAGATCATTCCATTATTGAACTTCTTTACCCAACATGTGGTAGAAAACTAACACGCGTCAACCTGGAAACACTGTTCTTACAGTGAAGCACGTTGGTGGCAGCATCATGCTGTGGGGACACTTTTCTTCAGCAGAGTCAGAGAAGCTGGTCAGAGTTGATGGGAGGATAGATGGAGTTAATCCCAGGGCAGTGCTGGAAGAAAACCCATTAGAGCGTGCAAGAGACTCAGGTGGAGGTTCACCTTCCAACAGGACAAGGACCAGAAACATCCAAACATATCTACAATGGAATGGGTTCAATCAAAGCATGTTCAAGAATGGCCCACACCTAAATCGACTAAGAATCTGTGACAAGACTTAAAGTTGTTGTTCAATAACACTTTCCATCCAATCTGACTGAGCTGGAACTATTTTGCAAAAAAGAATGGGCATAAATGTCAGTCTCTAGATGAGCTACACTGGCAGAGGTGAAGACATGCAGCTGTAACTGCAGCAAAGGATGGGCCTGCAAAGTACTGACTCACGGGAGGTGAATACAAATGTGTGCCACACTTTAAATGTTTTTTAAACAATATATTATTTTCCTTCCACTTCAGAACTACATCGTTATTGAATCGGCCCACATAAAATCCTGGTAAAATACTTTGAGGTTTTTGGTCACAAAATGTAGAAAAGTTCAAGAAGTATGAACACTAACCTTAATTCCCTAACCAGGAAAATCACTGCAATGTTACTTTAGTTGGTGATATGTCACTTTATCTGTGCTGCTGATTATCCATGCTGCTGATCTCTTGCCTCTAAACTGCTGTATTCATACCCATCTACTCACAACAGACTCATGTTCAGGCTGCTGTTTAATACACTGTATTATTTTACATTATTAGTGTTTGGCGTATATCCTTGATCCTCGTATACCGTTTATTTTTATACTTTATATTTTTACTATTTTGGAGTGTAATTGGGACCTCGAGTACACAATTTTGTTCCACCTCATGTACCACATGTGATGCGAATGATAAAGAACCTTGAATATTTTTCAGGACATTATAAACTGACAGTCAGTAGCAGCTCTTTAAATACAGCATAAGAACATAACATAGTACTACTTTAAGGAATGCAATTAACGTAGGGTTAGAGTTCCTATTGAGCCGTATTAATAAAACATGCTACAAAACTATTGACTAGTTAAAAAAAAAAACTCCACTGAAAAATGCAAAGACAGGAGCGCTCGGTGAGCGGGTCGATAGTAAAACGGAGCTTCTCCCAGCGGTGGGAGAGGAACGTCCTGCGTTTGCTGCGATACATTTAAAACTAATGTTCTATATAACCACCCATTCATTTAAAATATTATCGAGCCCAAGGCGACAGGGAGTGACGGAGAGTGGGAAGCCTCTCTGCCCAGACTCCGTCCACTTCGCCTCATGATCGATGAGGGAGCCATTAATCAACAAAACTCATCCGACAGCCGCCCAAAACACGCCAGGAGCCCAACAAGAATCTCAATATCTACAAACGCTAAGCAGTTTGTGTCATCTGGAGAAAGAAAATGTTATTCTCTCTTTTACTTGTTGCAAAGACATTTGCACTGAGTCCTTGGTTGGTTTTGGTCCCAGTTAAGGACTCGTCTGATGACGAATCTGGTATTGAGGATGAACACCTGCGCACAAAGATCCATCACAGTGTCTGCTGTACATCTCATACATGTGGTATTTTCTTGGAGCGTGGAAATCAATACGTGGATAAGGTGTGTTTGGAGGCATGATTACTTCTATAGATCCAGCATGCAGTCAGCAATGTAGCTTTGTCATTTGGTTTTAATTAGCCAACCAATTAGGCAGAAAAAGGCCCCCGTGGGATATTTGTACAAAACTAGGATGCATTCAGACAATCACGATGTTTGTCTTTATCTTCACGACTTAAACAAAGTAAAGACCGAGCATTTCTTTATGGTCGTGCGAATGTTTATGAAGCATTCGCACTATTGGATCCATCTTTCTTCTGCATTTTTTTTAGCATCTTTCTTGTCCCGTAGTTTTCGATCTGTTTCAACAAATCATTTATCAAAATGATCAGCAGAAGGGAGCAATGCCTTTTGGTACTGGTGCAACTTTAGCTTTTTAAAATATTTAGCCTTCTCTGCCAACTTTTTCCTCATATAAAACGAACTGAGCTCATTTTACATCCGTCACATCTTTAGATCTGTTTACAACCTTTTACTGCTCCTTTCACGTTTTGTTCTGCTTCAACTTCTTTGTGCAAATTGAAACTTTGTTTCAGCTACTTTCAGCTGTTCTGTGCTTCTTTCAGATTCTTTAAGCTAACTACAACATTTTTGTGCTTCTTCTTTCTGCTAATTTCAGCTTTTTATGCTCCTTTCAGCTTATTTCTGCAAGTTTCAGTTTTTTCTGCTAATTCAGCTACTATTTAGCTGTTTTAATGCTAATGTTAGTTTTTTCAGCTAATTCCACATTTTTTTGCACTCGTTTCAACGTTTTTCAGCCTAGTTCAGCCAAAATGTGCTCTCTCCACTTCCTTCTTGTAATTTAAGATTCTTTCTGATTTTTTAGCTACTTTTCAGCTGTTTTTTTTGTTGCTTTTTTTTTCAGATAATTTCCACTTTTTTGTGCTCATTTCAGCCTAATTGGGCAAACTTGCGTTCTTTCTGCTTTCTTATGCTAATCTTGTTCTACCTTTTCAGTTACCATTTTAGCATTTTTAGCTAATTTCAGTTGTTTTCAACTAAATTCTAGTTTTTTGCTGTAATTTCTGCTACTTTCAGCTTAATTAATTTTTCTACTAATTTCAGCTTGTTATGCTCGTTTCAGTTATTTTCTGCTAGTTTCAGTTATTTCTACTACTATTTATGCTACTTTTAGCTTTTTCAGCTAATTCCACATTTTTAGCTCATTTCAAATCGTTCTACTTCTTTCTGTTCGTTTAAGCTTCTTTCTGCCTTTTCAGCTATTTCTTTTTTGCTAATTTCAGCCTTTTATTTAGCTAATTTATTAATTTTGGTGCTCATTTCTGCTTATTTGTACCTAATTCAGCAAGTATGTGTTCTTTCAGCTTTAATTCTGATAACTAAGGCTTGTTCTTCCATTTCAGCTACAATTCAGCAATTTCAGCTGTTTTTCAGCAAGTTCTTCAGCAATAAGCATTTACACTGCATTCTCACAGGAAATGCGGTTTCTCTAGTTTAAAATACATTTAGATAAATAATAGTATAGCTGTTTAAACTTTTTATTGACGTTAAGCTC